ATGTTCCCGACGGCCCTGTCCAGCCAACCTCAGTCCCCCGAACCCGAGTCCTACGTCGCTCCGGTTGAAAATGTTGCAGAAGCAAAGGGTCCAGGGCTTTCTGTGGGCGAAGAACGCATCCTGCTGTAGCAAGTCGTTTGAGCCTTGTGTGCCGGCGTAATTTTGTCTTCAGCGTCGAGGAGCGTCGATTAGCGTGTGGGGGTCGATGAGATAGCGTCGATTTCGCGTCGAGTAGCGACGATTTCCAGCGTCGATTGGCGTCGATTCGCAAGAGCCGACAAGATGGAATGGGAGGCTCTCGCGATTTGCTGCCCAATTAGTTGCCCGTATCCGCGGCCTCGCGGGCCGGGACCCTGGGCCGCGACCGCGCGGATGCGGGGCGCTTTTCCGCGGATGCCCCGCGCGGAAGGCAGCCCCGCGGGCGCCCTGCGACCGGCGTATTCGCGGGAGCGCGCTCCGGAAGCCAGGCCGCAAGAACGCGGGCATGGATACGCTCTCGGTCACGCAGAGGTGTGTGTGTGGTTCGGCGGCGAGCGAAGGGGGGAAGTGAGAAGTAGAAGGCCATCTCAGAAGGTTTGGAAGGTCCCCGGCCTTCTGAGAAGTTTTCTAAGCCTTCCCCGAAGACTGAACAGCTTCTCAGAAATCGCGAGGGCTTCTGAGAAGTCCCACAGCCTTCGGAGAAGGCCTTCTCCTTCTCATCTCCCCCCCTCGCTCGCCGCCGAATGGTGGAGGGGGGAAGGCTTCTTAGAAGTTTCTGTGCTTCTTAGAAGGCGCGGGCCTTGCCTGCAGGTGTGAGGCTGGCTCCTTCGGAGAAGCAGCCACACGCTAAGGAGCCTTCCCCCCTCCCTCTGCCCCCTTGTGCGTGCGGCCAATGTTCGCCACTCGTAGGCACCTGGGATCGACGACCTCTCGGGAGACGCCGTCGCGGTACGGTGCAAGCCAGCCGTCCACGAAGAGAGACAGGGCCTCCGGGGGGCCTTTCTGAGAAGCCCCCCTCGCCCTCTCGGCGGGGCCGTAGCAGACCATCCCTGGGTCGACCGCGCCCCGGAATCTAGACCGCGAGGGCGCGGGTACGGGTACGTTCGCCGCTCAGGCCCCTCGGTGTGCTTCTCCGCGCTGCCGCACTTTTGCTTCGCAGCGCCCAGGCTCTCAGGGGTGGGGTCCCGCGAGAGGCGGCGGGCCCCGCCGAGCGGGCGGGGGGGGTTCTCTTGGCATCGCTCGGACGTGTGCATTTTTCTCGGCGAGGCCAGCGCCAGAGCATCCTGGACCATCTGGAGAAACACGCGCGACACCAAACAATGCACTGGGAGTGGGCGTCTGAGCGATGGCAAGTGCTGAGGAAGGGCCCCCCCCCATGGAAGCCCGCGGGCGACTCGTGTGCACCGTGCCGTTGGCGTCTCCCGCAAGACTCTGCAACCAGGACCGCTCTCGGAAGGGACTCGCTGTTCCCTGGGTCCTTCCGTGCTTTCTTCTCCAGCCTTCCTCGTGCACCCGGGTGTTGATGGCGCCAACAAGGGGCTTCCTTACTTCCCAACCATCCTGTGGTGTCGGGTCCTCGTTTTGAAGAGACGGTCCCCGCGTTCCTCCTCTCCTCTCCTCCTCCTCCCCCTCCCCCTCCTCCTACCCCTACTCCCTCCCCCTGCGTTTCCCCCACCCAGTACAGCGTTTCGTGGCCCCATAGGGAGCCCCACCGAAGGCCCCAGTGGGGGTGCCCGCATGCGTCCACCACGCCCAGTGCAGCGCTTCGTGGCCCCCATAGGGAGCCCCACCGAAGGCCCCAGTGAGGGAACCGCGCCGCGTCGAGCCCGCCGCCGCAGGGCCGCCTAGCCCGCCGCGGGCCTCCGATGGCGGCGGCGACGGACTGCCGTGCGGCGCTGGTCGCGGCCCGCGGGGCTGCGCTGGCTGTGCACGGCGCTGCTGGCCTGGCGCGGGGCGCGGCAACCGCTCGGCTGCTGCGCACTGCCGAGGGCATCGTGCGCGCCGCGGCGGCGATGCTCGACGCCGAGCTTCGCGCCGCCCGTGGCGCTGCCGCTGGTGGTGGAGGAGTCGGTGGCGCAGGTGTCCCTGCTGCGCCGCCTGCCGCACCTCCTGTTCCTGCGACGGGCGCACCGCCTAGAGGCCTGCGGCAACGGCGGAGGCGCCGTAGCCTCGGCGCCGCCGAGCTCGCGGTGAGCAGGATGTGGCGATGGTCCCCTCCGCCGCCGAGGACACTACGGCGGCGGCTGCTGCTGCTGCTGTCGGCGGCGCCGGCGACTGCGGCCTCGAGGACGACAGCTGGGCTGACCGCCTGGTCCGCCCATTGCCCTCGGCCGCCGCGCCTGCCGCTTCGATTGTGGCGGCCGCCGCCGAGGCGCCCCCTACTCGTGAGTCGCCTGGAGCACTGCTCGGCGGCAAGGGGGGGGGCGCCGCTGGAGGTCCTGGGTGTGGTGCTGCGGCGGCACTGTTCATGGAGGAGGTGTTCGCGCTGTGCGACGCGGGCCTCCAGGAGGCGGTCGGCTACACGCCCCAGGACAGCGTCGTGCTGCGGCGCGAGATCCAGGCTCGGCTGGCGACCCGCCAGGGCTCCTGAGGGAACGGCTTCGGTTGTCTGCCCTTTTTCGAGGGCGGCACGGCCTGGTGGGTGCCCCGCGTGGGTGCCCCAGGTGGTGCCGCATACCTCTGTTGTGCACGCCGAGCAGGCGTCAGCCTCGGCCTCTGCGGTAGCGGTGGGTTGCCAGGCGGATCGTGGCGCGCTGCGCGCCAAGGCCACTGAACATTAATAAAGGCCCCATAGAGGGTGCCCGATGCGTCCGCCACACCCAGCGCAGCGCTTCGCGGCTCCATAGGGAGCTCCATCGAAGGCCCCAGTGAGGGTACACATACGTCCGCCACGCCCAGTACAGCGCCTGGTGGCCCCATAGGGAACCCCACCGAAAACTTCAGCGGGGGTGCCCGCATGCGTCCGCCATAGTGCAGCGCTTCGTGGCCCCATAGGGAGCTCCACCGAATGCCCCAGTGGGGGTGCCCGCATGCGTCCGCCACAACCAGTACAGCTTTTTGTGGCCCCGTAGGGAGCCCCACCGAAGGCCCCAGTGGGGGTGCCCGCGTGCGTCCGCCACACCCAGTGCAGCGTTTCGTTGCCTCATATGGAGCCCCACCGAATGCCCCAGTGGGGGTGCCCGCATGCGTCCGCCACACCAGGTACAGCGCTTCGTGGCCCCATATGGAGCTCCAGAGAAGGTCCTTGTGGGACCGCCCGCGTGCGTCCCCCCCATCCAGCGCAGCATTTCGTGGCCCCATATACAGGCTCCACCGAAGGCCCTAATGGCACCGCCCGCATGCGTCTCCACAACCAACTACAGCGCGTCGTGGCCCCACAGGGAGCTCCACCGAAAGCCCCAGCGGGACCACCCACATTCGCCCCCCCCCACATCCAGGACCGCGCGCCCCATCACGCGTTGCGTAGCCCACTGGAAGCGGCACCCAGAACGCGTTTCACACAGGTGCACATGGTTGGGTCCTTCGCCAGGATGATTACTTTCAGCACCCCTTCTCTCCGCAGCCCGACTGGATGGTAAGACCCCGCTAAAAAAAAGGGCGGGGGGGGCTTCTTAGAAACGTCCTCCAGAGGCCCTCTCTGTCCGCAGACGGCTGGCGTGCACCGCGCCGCGCCGGCGTTTCCCGAGGCGTCGTCGACCCTCGGTGCTCATGGACGTCGAACGTATCCGCAATTATCCGTGGCCTGGCGTTTTGGCCTCCGGGGCGCGTTCCCGCGGATGTGCGGTCGCACTGCTGGTTTCCGCGCGGGGCACCCCCGCGGAAAAGCGCCCCGCATCCGCGCGGCCGGCCCAGGACTCTGGCAAGCGAGGCCGCGGATGCAGAGATGTGTGTTCGCCCGCGAGGCGCATAGCTTTGCAGCCCTCGGGGCCGAACGGCGAGGCACCGTACCGCATCGGGGCGGGGCCTGACAGGAGTCCAAGGACGGCACGGTGCATCCTCCTTGGACCCCCCCCGCGTTCCTCCTCCTTGGACCCCCCCCCGCGTTCCTGGAAGGCCGCCCTCGCGGTGGAGGCGGCCGGGAGGTCTGAATTGGATTGGCCCGAGAAAATCAATCAATGCAGGGGAATACGGGCAACTGCGCTCAATGTGTTTTTTTGTAGGCGTCGCCTCGGCTGCTGGCAAACGATCCTGCCAACAGGAGCGGGGGGAACTTCGCGATGGCTGCAGTGGTCCGGGGGACCTCTCCAGTTGCAAGAAGACCAACTTTCCCTCCTGCTAAAGCTCGGCGGAGAGTGGGAACGATCCCATGCGGCGCTGTAGCAGCCTCGCCCCCCCCTCGAGGTTTCGCGGGCTACCCTCTGGGGTCGCAGGGCGCCGACGGCACGTGGTTGACGCGGCAATCGAGGCTCTGCTGGGCCCGGCCAGGGTTTTCCCATTTCCGGCTGCTCGGAGCGGGGGACTGTGCACCTTTCGCTCCAAGACACGCATAGCATTCAAGCGGCCCGCGGGTCGCAGCCTGACAGGTGGGTGGGCCAGCGGACCTACATGTGAGCATCTTATACAGCTCTAGCCTACAAGAATGCCCCTCTGCGGACCGTCGCGCTGAGTTTTTGTTGCAATTCCGGGCCTGCTCCGAACTGCCACAGAATCCAGAAAAATGGGTCCTGCGGATTGGCGCCCCGTATTAGTGGGGGTCTCTACTGCGTCAATGAAGATACCCCCGGAGGGCTGACCCGAGGCCGCCGCGCAGCCCGCACGCGGGTGCTTGCAATCCGCGTTGAGTCGGTTCTCGGACCCCTTTTGGGGGGCCATCTGTTTTTCGCTCTGGATTCTTTCTCTTTGCAGCCCCAGGGCCCGACAACGGCCCCCAGAGGCCGACCGAGCTAAGAGATTGTCCCGAACCCAGAAGTTCGAAACCTCTTCCCCCCCCCCCCCCCCCTCCTGATCCCGGAACCAATGCTGGGCTAGCTCAGTCGGCTCCACCCCCAACGCCAACCCTACCGTGTGCGCGCCGCCGCGAGGAGGCCCACGGCCCGATCGCGCGGGGCAGCCTGGTGTGCGTCCGCACCGGCTTCTCGGAGCGGAGCCGCCCCCAGGGCGCCTGCGCGTCGCTGGTGGCGTCGAGGTCGAGTTCGCCGCCGTCGTGGCTTCGTCGTCGAGGTCGAGGTCGTTCGCGGCGTCGTTGGAGAGGACCAGGGTGGAGAGTATGGAGAGGGAATGATCTGATGATGATAATGGAGATGATGTTGGTGATGGGGATGATGGTGATGGTGATGATGATGATGATGATGATGATGATGATGATGATGATGATGATGATGATGATGATGATGATGATGATGATGATGATGATGGCGATGCCCGCCAGTGGTGGGCCCGCCGCTCCGCTCTGGGGGCGGGGGGGGGGTTGTTCGCGAAACTGGACTTGTCCGACGCCTTCGCAGCCCAAGACAGGCAGGCTCTCTCCCGCGCGGTCCACGAAGAGCTCCGCGTCTGCATATTGTTTACTTGTCTCGAGTGGTTTGCCCCGCCGCCTGATTTGATGGGTGCCGCTCGGTACCGTCCTGACAGTATGGTCGATGGCTTTGCGGGCGACGTGGGGATTTCCGACGGCGCGGGCCCGGGGCAAGGAGGGCGGCGAGGCGCCAAGGGTGAAGAACGATGCTTTGCGCGCTGGGTGTTTTTCTTGGTCGGCGGCGCTGTGTCCTCCGTTTCTGACCTAGAATTGGGTGGCGCTGTTGCAGAAGTGATCATATCATGGACCCGCTGTTCGCGCGTGGTTACCTGGGTGTGCTGAATCAGTTGGAGATGATCGCGCCTTGCGCATGCGCGACAGACAAGCGCCCTGGCGTTATTTGTCCACTCGGCGCGTTGCGAGCGACGCCTATTCCTTTTCACAGCGAGACAGCTCGCAAAACCCGTTCTCCAAGCGCATTCTGACATGTTTGAACCAGTAGATACGTGAAAATGGCATCGCAGAGATCCGCGCAGATGCCATGGCAGCCAGCGAACTTCCTGTTCCTGCCACGTGGAGCAAGAGCGAGTGGACGCCGCAAGGGTCTCTCAGCTGTGCTCGTGGTTGGCAGCCTTCGACACCATGCGCCACGTCTTTCGTTAGCAACTCGCCTCCGAATGTGTGATGGTGGTGTGTGTGTGTGTGTGTGTGTGTGTGTGTGTGTGTGTGTCTTGAGCTGCTCTGCGCGCAGCGTGGCTCGGCGGATGTAGTCGACCCACGGCTCCATCGTGGCATCGCCGTCGGGATGTCGCTTTTGTTGTGCCTGTCTGTCGTTTCGGTGTCGCGACATATGGGCTTCGAGAGGGCTCCGTGTCGCGACTGATGAGCGCGGTTCGGAAATCGGGCCAGGACGGGATCCGATTTCCCTACTCGGACCCCTCCCCTAAGGGTGTCTGGTAATATCCCCCTCGCACTCATCCTCGCATTATTCTTGTGTTCCTTCGACCTCCTGACATTCTTGCTCCTCCTCCTCCTCCCGCCTCCCTCTTTTTTTGTTTCCTCCTCCTCCTCCTTCCCCTTCTCATCGTCATCCTCCTCGTTCTCGTCTGCCTCCTCTTCTCCTTCCTCCTCCATCCTCCTCCTTTCCTCCCCCCCACGCCCTCCTGTGGACGAGGCCATGTGCCCGCCTGACCCCACCTCGAAGAAAATGCGCCCAAGGAGCGCTACCGGGCAGCCGTCGATGAGCGCCGCCGTGTCCGGGGCGCCCGCGCCGGCGCGACACACGCGGGGGAGGACCCTCCCTGGCTCTCTCCCGTCCTTCTTCTTTTCTCTTCCGGGAAGGGGAGGAGGCAGAGAGGGAGGAGGCGGAGGAGGAGGATGATACAACGCTACGAGCTAGCTCAAAGTTTGCCCAACGCAAGAAAAGGTGGAGGAGGAGGAGGAACTGGAGGGAAGGAGGGGGAGGGAGTGACCGAGCGGGGAAGCAGCCAGAGGGATAGGGAAGGGGGGGAGGGGGGGAGGGCGGTGTAGGGGATGGGGTGGCAGGGAGATGAGGGATATCACGGGAGTAGGAGGAGAGGAGGACGGAGGAGGAGGAGGAGGAGGAGCAGGAGGAGGAGGAGGAGGAGGAAGAAATGGTGGACGAGGAATGGATGCGACAGCGATGGTCCCAAGGCCCCTCGTCGTGAGTCCCTGCAAGTACTCCTTCCTCCTTTTCCACTGCGGGAAGTGCCCCTTCGAATGATGACCGTCCGGTAGGTTTGTTACTTAGGTGAGACTCCGTTTTGTACAAAAGGATCCACTCTCCGTCCTTCTTGCTAGTTGACAGAATCGCGAAGAGGTACGATGATCAAGACACGACAAAGGACATGGTAATCGATAGCCCTGATTTTA